ATGTACATAAAAACCAGCTTCTTGTTTAAGTGAAAATAAATGGAAGGTTGTCTTTTTGCGCTAGTAATGTTGTGGAGTTGTATTTTGTCTCGCATCCATTATATCGTCAGTTATATCGTTATCGCAAATTTTCAAATATATATCATGATAAATATTTTTGGCCATATCGCCCTGCTCTAACAAGCTCAATAAAACAAAATTCTGCTAGCATTCTATGTTGTGTGATTTATATCAAACATTACCTGGTGGGGCATGAAGTGCACCTGTGTGACAGCAGCATTCTCATCATGTAGCCCCATGAACTCCACACCTGGAGCTCCATATCTGAACAATGGTTAAGCACAGACTCCATTTATCATAGTTGCAATCATACTAACATACTAGCACACTGGGAAGAGCTAAGCTAATGCACATTTAGTAAGATGGTCTATTTTACACAGAGAAATCCAAAACTTTAAGTCCTAATTTCAGGGAGGCATCTCAGTGTTTGAGGGGATGCCAAGATACTATGTACAGGGAATTAGAGCCAGAAATCTTCTTGCTTTAGAAGTCACAACTTAGACCTCCTCTCTCCTTTGGGTGGCGCTGTCACTTGGTGTTCCCTCTCTCTGCAGTAGAGGATCACTTCCTGGTCCAACACACAGTGGTGTTTTTGTGTAGCAATTTAATTAAAAACTAATAGATAACTTATTTATTTCATAGTGTAATCTTCACATGCTTCATCCAAAGCACACACTCTGTGTATTCACTTGCTAATTTATAGTCACAGTATTCACTCACTGTGTCTTTAAGGACTCGCTAGCAGCATGGCCTCTTCACCTGTCCCTCCTACACTTTCCTGCTTGTTGTGTCACATGTTTAGTTACTCCTTAGCCTCCTTTAGCAGTAATCCTACTTGTACTATATGTAGCCTATTTGCAGCTCTGGAGGCCAAGATCACTGAATTAGAGACTCCACATACAGCATCCACATCTGCACCACGAGTAAAACAGTGAAATGTGGATTATTAAACATTAGGCCTCTCTCTCCCAAGTCTCTGTTAGTACATGACTTAATAATTGATCAACAAATTGACTTACTCTTCCTTAAAGAAACCTGGTTACAGCAGGATGATTATGTTAGCTTAAATGAATCAACACCCCCGAGTCATTCTATCTGAAACCTTGAAGCAGGCCGAGGAGGAGGTGTGGCAGCAATTTTCAACACCAGCTTATTAATCAACCAAAGACCAAGACAGAGTTTTAATTCATTTGAAAGCCTGATGCTCAGCCTTGTCCACCCCAGCTGAAAAACTCAAATAACAGTCTTATTAGGGCAGGGATAACTCTAGGTAGAGTGGTGGTCCCCATAATCAGAAGGTCGGGGGTTCAAATCCTCTGTACCCTGAGGTACCCCTGAGCAAGGTACCGTCCCTACACACTACTCCCTGGGCACCCAGTGGCTGCCCACTGCTTCACTGAGTGAGTAGGTTAGATGCAGAGAGGATTTTCCCCACGGGGATCAATAAAGTATACATTATTATTATTATTCTTATTGGTATTATTAGTTATCATCTATCATCCACCTGGGCCTTACACTGAGTTTGTCTGATTTCTCAAGACTTTTTATCTGATTTAGTGCTCAGCTCAGATAAAATAATTATTGTGGGTGATTTTAACATCCATGTAGATGCTAAAAATGACAGCCTCAACATGACATTTAATCTGTTATTAGACTCAAGTTGACCTCTCTCAAAACGAACCCACCCACCACTTTAATTACACTCTAGATCTTGTTTTAACATATGGCATAGAAACTGAACATTTAACAGAGTGATGGATACAGTTTGATAGCCCCAGAGCGAGTGCCAATGGCCAGCAGCTTCAAGGAGGGACTGTAGCCCAGAGCACTGGGCTGGTGGGGGAATCCATGCTCCACTGTCTGAGGAGGAGAGTGAAAAGATGAGGGTGAGAAAGAACTTTGACAAAAGAGCCAAGGACAGAGACAAGAGTGTACAGAACAATACCAGCTTTAAGAAATGCCCTCATACATCTCAATAAATGTCAGAATTCACAGCTAATGATTTTAATCAGAGTTTAACAGTCAGCAGCAGTGTCTTATATTTATATTTATTTCACTGGCTCCCCAGTCCAATATATCACGCTTTTACTGGATGTTTTACTGGTCTGGAAAATTAAGTCTAGAACCCACGGACATGACCAACTACTATGTTTGTACATTTGGCGTACTCTGCCAGGCTGCGGCCGCTATCAGTCTGTATATGCAAGAGCAAAAAATAAGAACTTGACTCAAAACAAAATGTAAAAATACTGGTGGCAGGGAGTGGTAAAAATAAATCCTATGTGACTTGAGTCACATATGCTACATTTAGTACTTTGAGTTATCACATTTACAAAACATGACATTGAGTCACTGAGATTCAAACTGGTCTAACTTTAGTAGATACACCTATGGTTGCAATTCTGCTTGCATTATCGCATTCACAACAATCCACACCGCCTGCCAACTTGCCGGGCAGGGTAACGACAACCCCTAACCAGCTTTCTACGGCTGAGGGGTTAAAAAAAAAAAAGCATTTACTCATAACTACTAGGATCATCCACACAGCACAGTAATGTTGGAAGGAAATGATAAAGTTAAAATAAGATTACAACAATGGAAAGAGCACACAAATCAAAGTGCCTTAAGTGTCGTTGTTTACTGGAAGCAATCTTTAGCCACAGAACAAGCTATAATGGGAATCTGTCACAATGACACCCAACAAACAGCCACTATCACAGCAGCTAGATGTCTTTATGCCAAGCTGGCGAGTCGTATTAGAATTCTTAGTTTTGAAAACACGCCAGGAGGACCAGGAGGAATGAGTGTTTGAGAGCAACATCTCAGATTGGACATGTAAAGGTATACATAAATGTTCCAGTGTTAATTTTGATGCAAATTTTGATTTTGTTTTAGTCATAATTTAGTTTTATTTGATTAAATATCATAAGATTGTTGTAGACCAATTCATTTGACAAAAATAGAAAGTATAAAAGTTTGTTGTGTTTTTAACTGGTGAAAGTTGCTCTATGCGCCGCGGTTTGCAAAGTGTCTGACTTTCCTTGACATGAAATGTGTCCATATGATTACTCTTCTGACATTTTGTTGTTTTTTCATGAGACGGGGAGCTCGCCCAACCTTGTCTGTCAGCGGCAGATCAAATTGTGCACGTCTAACTTTGCATAAGATAACTTCTAACTGGATCATCATCCCTTCTTTGTACACAACACAATTCATTCTGATTGGACCTCGTCTCTCTTCATCTTGTTTTTATTCGTCAATAAAATTGTCAATAATATTGTCAAAACATTTTTTCTTTCGCATTAGGTTTTACATATAGTTATTGTCTTTTTTCATCAGAAAAAGACCAAAAGTATCATGATAATTACTAGTCAACAAGCAAAACACTGAAATGAACACCTGTGTCTACACATATATAGGTGTTATATCTGCAGGGCACAAGCATCTTTTATGCAGAAAGTGCGTCATCATTATGATTACAATTATCTGTAAAATGAGTGCAGTGTTTATGCGCCACATACAGCCCACTTTGATCTTAAGTGGCCCAGACCAGTGAAACTCTCCTTTCCCACAGTGTAAAGAAGTTACATATTTAACAGTTTTTTTATATGACCATTTTTTTAAAACTGTACGTAGTCATAAAAAAACAAAACACATTTCTATAGTAGAAATATAACTGTAAAAGCTGTAAAACCTATGACTACAGACATTTCTGCATCTCTGCCATTCAAAGACATTTTGTATACAGTTTTTTAATGTAATATTCAATACTGAACTGTAAATTTAGTCTTTTTCAAGGGAGGAGTTTTTTGATTTTTTTCACTGTTTTAATAAAAGCCCTATTTTTATGCATACCACTACAGAGAACACACACACGATTTAAAGCCTGGACAAGTTTGAAACCTTTTGTCCTCCACAATGACCTGCTAGCATTTAAATCCGACTCTCCTGTCTCTCCATGTAACTGGCTACACCACTACACGTGCTGTCTTTGGAACGTCCGCCCTCTTCCTTCTTTCACATAATGGTATGATCCCAGTCTGTCTTTGCATGTGATTGGCCACATGGTGTACCCATCAAAAATAAAGTTCCACCACTGCCTGCATGGATTCTCAACAGGGCTGAAGATTCGGCTTCCACATTAATAACTGACATATAAAATGATCCTGCGGGTTGTATGTAATTGTATCGTAGACAGTAAGTTTGACACCCCTGGTTTAGATGCACTGAAATAATCAGGTGGCACTGCTTTCTCCACTAAGCTTCTTCATTGTCACTTGGTTATTGTTAGTGGATTAGAAAAACCAGAGGGTTATAATATTGTTAATGTTAGGATCAACCTAATTACATCGCTATGGTTACTTAAGCTGGATACCTACGCTGGTTAGAGTTCAAAGTTTGACATTTGTATGGATTCTAAAAGGCACCGCACTTATATTAATTATTTGACATTCTGTCTGAAATGTATATATTCTTAGCTGAGATAAGTCAGGTTCTTAAGTATTTGAAAAATGATAATTTTTGGAATTACATTCTGAACACCAGAGTACTAAAAATGGAAACCATGTATAAAAGTGGTTGTATTCCATAACAGTTAAGTCAATATTTTTGTTAAAGCCCTTGAATTAAAGCTGAGTGCTTGCACTTCAATCACGCCTCTGTTGTTTGATTTAAATGGACCATGGTGGTGTACAGACAAAAATCACGAGAAAAAGAAACTAATATATAAATTTAAAGTGAACAGCTTACTTGATCTTGTTCTGGTTACTTTTATTTTCTGTTTCTGCTTAGTAACCTGGTCACTTGAATGTATATCATGACTGCAGATAGTTCAGAGTCTCCTGAATGATTTTTGTCTTCTTCTTCTCATCACTCACATTGAACCACATCACTACAGATGGCAAACTGTGTGGTATGGTCTAATTTACTTGCCTTATTAAACGCGAAGAGTTCCTGTTTTAGCCGATCCCTCTGGGACTCTTGACCGTGCCGCCTGAACCTTTTCATCCTGTCAATACCGTGTGCAGCCAGAAGGCCCGCTGACACTTGCTGGCTGGAGGAGACACAGGAGATAGAGGTAGATGATCCAGCTTGAAAGTAAAAGTTTCAGAGAGGAGAAAAAAGGGCATGTTATTAGACAAATCCTCTAGTTCACACCTTTGTTATTCCTTAGTGAAAAGCAAATATTGATATTCTATTTATTTAAAACAATCAAAACATGTCTTCTTCCATAAGCGTGTTCTCCAGCCACAATTCAGAGATGAATAACACCATCAGATACACAGCCACATTAATCAGTCCAGCTGCCTTCCAAAAAAAATACAGAGTGGCTCGTGTTTTTTCTTGCATCAATACACAACCAGCAGTTTCAAGGAAAAAGGGGTTACTAGGAGTACCAAAACTTTTGCTTCACTAATGTCTATAGAAACCTATTAAACAAAATACATGAGACCTGGGTGTCATAAGGCCCCTGGCTACATGTTTGGTTGTCTGTGAAGTCACTGGGAAATTAGGATTCAAATGTATGTATTCATCATTTGTCCCATTTCAGCGACCAAACATTCTTCTCCATCTGAGATTTTGTGTGAAATCATAATACAACCGCTATTTAATGTAGATGCTGTGTGTTACAAGTGGTTCTTCACACAAATGCTGCACAAAACCTTCTGCTAATGCCAGCTATATCTTTTGGTGCTCATAACTTTTATACTTTTTGAGATATTATAATAATAATAATAATAATAATAATAATAATAATAATAATAATAATAATGGATTGCATTTATATAGCGCTTTTCGGGGCCCTCAAAGCGCTTTACAATTCCACTATTCATTCACTCTCACATTCACACACTGGTGGAGGCAACCTACAGTTGTAGCCACAGCTGCCCTGGGATAGACTGACAGAAGCTGCCATATTGCGCCATCTGCCCCTCTGATATTAAGCTTTTTATGCCATTTTTGGCCCATTTTGCTGAATGGGACCACATTATCAGTGTGATCACCAGTTTTGCTTGCTGGGCTGAACCGTGTTTTAGCTCAGTAAGATGAGCAGCCGTTCTCAGACCGGGAGGCCCGGGTTCAAATCACGCTTATGGCAACATTTCTTTAAGTTCACAGTTAAACTTTTTTCAACATAAATTTTACCCCTTCACCCCTTTTCAGCAGAATTTTCAGGTTTTTTTTCCACCCCTTTTCAGCACCTTTTTAGCTGTTTTGAGCAGAAACCTCTTTTCAGCAGAATTTTCGCTTTTTGGTCTGTTTTCAGCGGAATTTTCAGTGTCTTCCCCTCTTTCAACACAATTTTCTGTTTCCTCATCTCTTTTCAGCAGAAAGTTCAAAAAGTTCACCTCTTTTCAACAGAATTTTCAGCTTTCTCACTTCTTATCAGCACAAATCTCACGATCTTCTGCTCATTTTAGCAGAATTGTCAGTTTGTCCTTCTCGATTCAATTTCCGGAAAACCAGTTTAGCTCACTGACATGAGTAGCCGCCTTGAGACCAGAAGTCCCGGGTTCGTACCCTGCTCAGGGCAAATTTTCTGTTCAGCAGACAGTTCAAAATTTTCACCTCTTTTCAGCACAAATTCTAGATTCTTCAGCTGTTTTCAGCACAAACTTCAGCTTCTTTACATCTTTTCAGCAGAATTCTTTGCTTCTTGGTCTGTTTTCAGCAGAATTTTCAGTTTCTTTACTTCTTTTCTGCAAAATTTTCTGTTTCTTCAGCTCTTTTAAGCAGAAAGTTCAAAAGTGAGATGAGCAGCCACCTTGAGACCAGGTGGCGCAGGCTCAAATCTGACCTGTGGCTCTTGCCGCACATCTTCCCTCCTCGCACTCTCCCTGCTTTCTTCAGTGTAATCTTTCAAATAAAGCACTTTTCAGCAGAGTTCAGCTTCTACACAGTGTTTTCAGCAGATAGTTCTCCTTTTTCTGCTTTTTCAGATTCCACTACACGGCATTCACACTGCATTTTCGCAGGAAATGCAACTTTTTCTAGTTGTCATTAAATATTCTGCCTTTAGGACTTATCATTAGTAGTTTCAAAATTATTTCCTACCATCAGTAAGCAGACAATACCCAATTAGACACCTCCTTTAAACCTTGTGAACTAGACAAATTACCCACTCTAATGGACTGTCTTAAGGAAATAATGGCTCAAGAGTTGGGAGTTTGCCTTGTAATCGGAAGGTTGCCGGTTCGAGCCCCGGCTTGGACAGTCTCTGTCGTTGTGTCCTTGGGCAAGACACGTCACCCGTTGCCTACTGGTGGTGGTGGTGGCGCCTCTGTCAGTGCGCCCCAGGGTGGCTGTGGCTACAATGTAGCTTGCCATCACCAGTGTGTGAATGGGTGGATGACTGGATGTGTAAAGCGCTTTGGGGTCCTTAGGGACTAGTAAAGCGCTATACAAATACAGGCCATTTAATTTTTGATCAATCTCTGTCTTTTGATGCTCATATCAAGTCTGTGACCTGCACCTGCTTTTTCATTTAAGAAATATTGCCAAATTTAGGACTATTGTCTCCAAAGCTGAACTGGAGATGTGTTCTGCCTTCATCTCCTCCTGTTAGATATTGTAATGCACTCTTTTCCTATCTGTCAAAGATTTCTTTACATCACCTTTAAGTGATCCAAAATACCACAGCAAGGCTGTTAACCCACACTCATAAATTCACTTACATCACTCCCTTGTTGAAGTCCTTCCACTGGTTTCCAGTTGGGTACAGATATCAGTTTAAAATCCTCACTCTTACTTTTATATCTTTACGAGGAGAGGCCCCCACTTATATTATCAAGCTTCTTCACCCTTGCTCTCAAAACTGGATTCTTAGATACACTGATTGTGGTCTTCTGACTTTTCCATGGGATTGCGCTTTCCAAACCAGTACTGTGGAACAGCTTCCCTGATAACCAGCTATGATCCAATCTTTCAGGTTAGTTCCTCTCGCACTCAACGATCCTTCTTCCATCGCACTTGGGGTTTGATGCCCTCGATTGGGTGAGGGTGATAATATCGAATTAGTGCTTCCAGTCAGAGATTGAGCATGCACCGGTTTATTGTATTTCCAGACTTGCTTTCGGCACAATTTACAGTGCACGCTACTCTGTTTTTTGTCAGACTTGAAATAGCCGAAATACCTTCACACTACGGAACTTCTATGGCTCTTCCGTTCGACAATCTCTCCGGCATTGGAACCATCATCTGTTTTCTCTTCGGTAACCTTCGGTCACGCTCGGTTGATTTTTCTAGTCGGCACACTCATTTCCTCCATTACCCGGGCGGCACGGTGGCTGGCTGCTTCCCAAACAAATACACATGTGCGGCTTGGCACTTGTGCTGTACGTAACAAGTCACGTGACGTGACGCTGCGGCTGTGATTGGTTCGGCTCTGCGCTACTTAATTTGGATTGGCTGTTCTTTTTTTTTTTTTTTTTTTTTTTAAGAGGACAAGAGCGGTGAGGTCTATCGCAATAGTTTAATTTTTCTATCGAGAAAAAGTTATTTCGCAATACATATCGTTATCGTTCTATCGCCCAGCTCTATGTGAGAGCAGTTTCTTCTTGCAAATGTTGGGGTGGCTGTAGCTCAGGTGGCAGAGCAGGTCAGCCACTAATCAGAAGGTCGGTGGTTCGATCCCAGGCTGCCTCCTGGCTGCATGCCAAATATCCTTGGGCAAGATACTAACCCCATGTTTGCCTACTGGTGGTGGTCAGAGGGCCCGGTGGCGCCAGTGTCCGGCAGCCTCGCCTCTGTCAGTGCGCCCCAGGGCAGCTGTGGCTACAATGTAGCTGCCATCGCCAGTGTGTGAATGTGTGTGAACGGGTGAATGACTGAATGTAGTGTGAAGCGCTTTGGGGTCCTTAGGGACTAGAAAAGCGCTATACAAATGCAGGCCATTTACCATTTACACTGAGCTACTAGTTGTTTTGCTGTCGATCTGGATGCTGGGTATCAAAGATTGTCCTTCCACTGGGGTTGACTCGCGTAGTAGCATTCCAACAGCGCCTTATTATCATCTCTTGCCAGCTTGTGCCCTCTTGTTCCAGTAGCCCACTTCTCATCAGTATGTCCTGGATATATATGTCAACCACAGAGCACCACGCTCTGTTTTGCAGCTATGGAACAGAAAAGCTACTTGGAGTTCCAGATTCAGACAATGGCAAAGCAAAGCTCATACCAGTGGTCAAATGTGTGATCTGCAGTCCATGACCGTCCATTTTCATAACAAAAGTCTGTGCCATGACTCACATGTCTGAGCCAGGTCATTTGCCTCAGTCCAAAGCCAGACATAGTTCTGTTATTGCCCTCAGTGTTCCGATGACTCACATTTCCAACTCAAGCTTCCTCATACTTCCTCAGACTGTCCCAAACAGACTGGGTGGACTCACCAGTCACTTGTTCTGAGGACTACATAGACCTACTCAATGTTGCATCATCCCTTTAAGTGTTTCAGACCAGACCAGATTTCTGTCAGACCAGTATATTCAATGTTTAGAAAGGTCAAGCACGCCAAGACAAGCACTAACACAGCAGTCTTGTGTGGAAAAAAACAAAAATAGGTTAAAGTAAACTTTTGTATATTCCATGATTACACATAAATTATTATATTTAATGTCAATCATCATAGCTTACAGCTCAAGAAAAATCGTAATTCCAGTCTCTCGAATTATTAGAATATTTCCAGAGATCAAATAAAAAGTATTTTCAACTGGTGCAGAGTTGTTGAATTGACATGTAACTGTTGTTCATAGCTCCTCCCACCGGAATGTAGGGTGTATGCTTTTTTGTCTCATCCCTAGAGGTGGGTTTTGATTATCAATTTATTGATTATCCAAGCTAGAATCGATTTTAATGTGATATCGATTCATTAAAATCCTGAATCAATTTTTTAATATAAATTTATTTTGCCCGAAAAGCCAGAATCTCAGGTTAAACCTCACAAAATTTCAACAACCACCAAACAGCTAAAACAGTAAATGAGAGCAGCTACACGGATTCTGCACAAAGATGTAAACACAAAGCGTTTCGGTGGGTCCGAGCTTTGTGTTTACTTCCGAAAAGAAAACCTCATTTCTGCTCTTCAATACTGATC